AGAGACATAGGCTCTCAAAGACGCCAGTCCCCGCCCGCCTGCCAATAGGGGGAGCGCCTGGGGGAGTGGGCATCCCGGTGGTGAGGACACGGGCTCTGTGGGTCCAGCGGGTAGACCTTTTCGGGCGCGGCCGCGTGGGGGTTCTGGGCTTACTAGTACCTCCGGCGGGAAGCGGTGGGCTTGGCGAGGCTTGGAGCGGAGCGGGGAGCTTAGGTGGCCACCGCCCATTTTGCTTTGTTGGAGGAACTGAGTCGGGATGCAGTCTCAGATATTCATCCGTCCATTCCATTCCTCACACCCACATCTGATTCTTGTCTGTGCCTAGCTGCCCTGCCCCCGGTCCCTTCAGCCCTTCCTACCCGTTGGGCACATCCTTGCGCTGCACTGTGCCCGCTGGGGCTCGTGCCCCTCCGGTGATTTTCCTGTTGTTCTCGTTATAGGGTTCATGACTAACGGCCTTCGGTCTCCAGTAAACGCCTCTCCCAGCTCAGTCGATCGCCCTCACCTGGCCCCACCTGCACCTGGTCCGACCAGAATGTCCCGCTCCCCCTACCCTACCCAGCTGATGCCATTTTGGTCTCAGCCCTTCTGCTAGCAGATGTAATAAATTCCTAATTCTTTACCCCTTTTGGCCTCCTGCGTTCCTCCTTCCGCGACCCTACCACCACCTTCACGAATTCCCTCACTCGCCGACTTCCTCATGACCCCTCACACCCACCCATTCACACCGTCACCCACCCATTCCTCACACCTTCCCCGAGGCCTCCTGTGTGCCGCCCGCATGCTGGGTGATGGGGACCAAGGTGAGTCAGGCCTGGGGCAGAGGAGAGCACGGACCCGCACACTGATGGGCAGGGCTGTCAGAGGCCGGGGTTTCCAGAGGAGGGGCCATTGGAGGAGCAGGTGGTGCCACGCAAGGGGCAGGAGAGCCGGGCGGCCGGGCTGTGGTCCGAGGCTCACGGGTGCGGCAGGCGCGGTGGGGCCGGGTGGAGGGAGGACCAGGCGGATGCGCTCCACTCACAGTGCGGGTGGCTGCCGCATCTCGAGAATCATTTGGGGTCAATTGCTCATTCCCAAAAGCCCATTTCCCAGGATTCCTTGCAGCTAACAGGCACGCTACACGGTTCTAACTAAGTGAAATGTAAGCAGAAATATGCAAGCGGAGCTGCAGGAAAACCTGTTTTGCTAAGAGACTCATTTGCGCCTTTCCCCTTCAGTCCTTCCTTCAGGAAACACGGGTGATGCCCACGGAGCAAAGGTCAGGTCCCGGAGACACTGCGGAGTCATTGTATCAGTCGGCCTGAGGCTTTCTCAGAAAAAAGCAAGCCCAACGGGGTTTAAGCCATTGTTACGGGGTTTGTAATCAAACATACTAAATACTGTTTTAAAAACTAGATATCTTCGTGCTTTACAGCTACTATGAATATAGTTGGACCATTCAAATTTCTCTGAAGACTTAAAAAATAAGGCCT